TATTTAAAAACTCACATTCTAACTAATAATTTTCAAAACTAACCATTGGATTGAAAATTTTATTTTTGTAAATCATTTATATCAATTTTTATATTAATATAATATTTATAACTTTTTTATTAAAAATATTTTATTTATTAACATATATTTAAATATATTAAATTTTGTTTAATCAATAAAAGGATTAGGCCTGTTAGAACTATATGAAAATTAACACATATGATTTATATAAATAGAATTTTCATTTCAATAGTTGATTTTTCAAAATATTAATAAAATATAAATTTTCAAATAAGTCATCTCAAAATTTTCTACGAAGGACAATCTACAAAACACTTTCTTCTCATTTTATTAACAATTTATATAATTTTAAGATAGTAAAAATATAATTAAAAAGAAAAAACCAAAACTAAAGCGCCAATATGTATTCTCAAATGAAAATTTAGTCTTTGAAAAATGCACAAAAATTTATCTAAAGACACCCTAATCATCTAAAATCGAAAAAAAAAAAAGTTTCAAATTTTAATTTCATTCTCAAATATTATTTCCTTGTGTAAGAATACAAGAATGTTAAACTTAGCTAGGATACATATGGGCATTTCAAATTAATTTATGTATTTAATTTTAAATTCATGTAATGTAATTAACATACATACATGGTAAGGGATATAATTATTGTTTTACGTTAGCATGTATATAACAAGGGTTTACTCTTGCAGTATTTGATCGACTTCCTAAATTGGGGTTAATGCTCCTAAATTTCTTTGGTAACTCACCCTCAAACCATGAAACTTATTTTTTTTGCTTATCTTACCATTTCTACTTCTGTTATTCTATTCTTATTCCTTTTAGAGTATATATTAATTGATTCTTGATTTACTTAGGAATCAAACAAATTTATGATTTGAAGTTAACGCATCTCTACGCTCTTGAGATTCTTCGCTGTATGTGTAACCATGTTTCAACATTAAAAAGCAAGTCTCTTAGGAAATGTGGAGTGATTGATGCAATGTTTGAAGCTACGGAGCAGGGCATAGTAGAAATCGTCGTTGAGCTATTGAAAGTCAGCCAACCAGTCAATCATCGTAATATGCAAAAG